TGAACTATTGAGTCCCTAAAGAATAGATTTCTATTCCATGTCATAGTAAAGAGCAGCATGGCAAACGATTGTGGTTAAAATTCAGCGATTGTTGCTGGGATTGCTTTGCCCTAAGAATGACCATGATACATGAATCTAGATAGAACTATGATCGAAAGGAATGATATTGTCTTGAAAACAGTCAGACAAATTTAGAACTAGAATTAATGAGACATAATGCGATCATGTAAACAAGTTCATTTTGCCATGTTAATCCTCTAGTAACAAAAAACATCGAAATCTCGAGCTAGTTGCAAATAAGGTCTAGCTTGGGGCCTGTTGGAAAAATGGGAACGATATGAGAACGATGTATCGTAAGTTACAATTAAAAATATATTCCCAAGTTAGAGTTTTTTTTAATAAAATTGATCTTATGACTTTTAATTAACCCGTCTGTCCTGATGTTCTTCAAAAGCTTGTCCATCCGACTTTTTGTGTGTATGCGTGTGTGCTTTAAAATAATATTCACATTTATTTAATGGAAAAGTCTCTGAAGAGAAATGTACATACTTGAAGATGATTTAGGAAGGAATAAGCCTGCATAGCCTTTATTGATTATTTTTCCCTTTAAAGGTAAAGACCAGTTTTGGAAACGCCCCCCTCTCAAAAAATGAAATGGAAGTTCTTATTACCAATCATGTGAAAGAAGATCTTTTGACTCTTTATGTGATGATACAAATTTTGCCGGGAAACCGCCTACTAATTGATATATTTGGTGAATTATTATATCTATCCGGACGGGACAGATATTGGGTAGTCCCATATACATCTTTCTGTGTACAGTGCTTGTAATTTACCAAGACTGGGCCAAATTTCTTATCATTTTGATGATTCCAGAACCTTGTAGTACACACCAATACTTATATGCTAGATGATCAACCTTTTCTAATTGATTCCACAACGTTTCTGTCACAATGCAATCGCATGACCAGAACTGACCTATACCTTTAATAGCATTCGCAACAATACAGCAAGTCTTGGGTAAAGCTTAATGCCCAATTTAATTTGTTTTTAAATTTCAATAATGGCTGCACGAAAAGAGCACACTCTGTGACAATGGCCCAAAGAACTGTAATAGTTAATTGCAACAAAATAACATGTTTTTACTTTTTAACCCATTCGTATTCAAAGGCTTACGCGAATTTATAAGGGGAACATCTATAAGCCATATAGTTTACGACAGAACACCAGAGATTGGAAAGAGATAACTGTTTCCTTGTATGAACTTTTGGACACAGTCTAATGGGTGTGGTATTATGTACCTACTTTTCCTTTGAGGCCCATGTCTGTACAGTGACTAAATTCATTCAAACACAGAGCTCCACAATGTATACGAAGTCGTTGTGTTTGTGATACTCATGGTACTTTATTCGCTATTATAAAGACTGACACAATGAAAATTTACTTTATTATACCACGTCTTGTTCTCTGTGTTTGTCTGTCTGGGTTTTTATTCTCGATCTCTCTCCAGTTCTATCACCCCCTTCTCCCTTTATGAATTATGCATAATTTCTCATTCTTCATTCTCTTTCACTTCTAAAGTAATATCTCTCTCTCTCTCTCTCTCTCTTTCTCTGTATATATGTATTGTATGTCTCTCTCTCTCTCTCTGTATATATAATATGCATTGTATATATACATTCTAACATAATTATGACCTTTATAACCCAATCTCTAGTATCATTCTCTCTCTTTCTCTCTCCCTTCTAACTAATAAATTCAAATAGGCTTACAGTGTGAGCTCGCGGGCTCGCACCTTTTTTGGTGCAATAATGCACGTTTGAGTATCCGCAAATAATGCTTGAATGCTCAAACACTCTTCACAAAACAATGCAAAAAGGTTATGCCCCCGAAGGCAGTGTTGAGGTTGACACTTTTAGGAGGGGGATTCTGATTTGTAAAGTGTTGAAACAACTCCTTTCCCTTTGTTGGTGCAGTTGTAAGATCTCTATTTGCTTTTGGGTAAGGTCAGTTATACATCGGGGCATTTAACTGCCCCCACCCATGATCTGTGAAATGCCACACCCAAACAATACCCCCTTTAAAGATAAAGTTGAGTTCTGGTCATGCGATTGCATTGTGAAAGAAACGTTGTGAAATCGATCAGAATAGGTTGATCATCTAGCATATGAGTATCGGTGTGTACTGCAAGGTTCTGGAATCATCAAAATGATAAGAAATTTGGCCCTGTCTTGATTACGTTACAAGCACTGTACACAGAAATATGTATATGGGACTACACGAACATGTGGCGTACAAATCCGTTCCGATTTATATGATATTACATGCCATATTTTGAATATCTATGCAAAATACCATTTAAACTATTCCCATTCGTACATGACTAACGGTCTGTTATTGTCACATTGCAGAAGGTTTTTAGCATTTTAATGCGGTGTGGCCTTTGCGCTTTGAGGAGTCAAATTACTTTTCAGATTAGAATTCAAACCAAACATTTCCAAACATCAGAATGTTGCATTCTTCTTCTTTTTTTATTCTTCTTTCTTTTGTGTGTGTGCTAGGGTGTTGACACACTGTGCCGCATAACAATACGATAGATTATATGCAGAGCCTATGTTTAATGAAAGGATATGTCACCAAATCTCGGTACTCTTTATCAAGGCACCTATTCACAGTATGCAACTTACAGTAAGGTTAAACATACATTTTATCATTTTTACCAGCGCCATAATCTTAAACAGTCTCGCTTAAGAGGGAGGGAGACTGGCACTGGTCTGGATGAAAATAATCGTCTACCTTCCAATAGAAGTGGTCATTGGAGCCAAACTTAATCCCTGTGGATATTCGTCGATACAATGGACTGACTTTTCGGTCCCTTGGATAAATCTTCGGTATGATGAGGCTTTCATAAACAAACAAATGGCCCGTTTTGTTAACATTACTTCGGATGGCGCACATAAACATCGATTTAAAAAGTTTTTTTCTTCTTATACAATCTTTTGCTTCTTCTTCTCAAGTCACTATATAAAAAACACAAGTCCCTTCGGGTCGGGTGCACGGCGCAGGGTCTGATTGGCCTTATCGTTGACCCTTCCATGTCCATGAGGGTACAGTGTACTGGGAGGAGGGGCAGACCAAAAGGTGTTTCATTGTCTGTTCCTTCCGAATTCGCACATGGTTCCATCATCCTTTGTATATAGCACCCCCCCCCCCTCCCCCCTCCAGTCCAGTCCAATTCAAGTGCGATTTAGACAGAACCAGATATCTCACTTGATTGGCTGAAAACGAATTTGTTATAGAAATGTGTTATGTTTTATGAGACGTGGTCCTGATGGTAGAGATGGTAGAACGTTTGCTTAACCCGACCAAGCTTTCAATATCTTCATAAAAAGGGGTGTACACGTATTATGTTTATCCTCCGATTTAGTTTTAGATGGAGAAAACCTCACTTAATAATAATTATTGTTGTCATTTGTTAACATTTGAAGATGAACGAAGATCGTGAAATCACAATATAGTTTCATTCAATATTCTCACACAGAACCAGAGACCATTTTCGTAATGTAATACAATGACATGCATTTTGTTTAAGAAATATGTTACAAATTATTTCATTCACCTGTTACAAATAATTGTATTTTGATAGTCTGAATGTGAATTGCATACATTACTTGTTGCTAAGTAACACATGGCTTGTCCTACCCAACAAAACAGAATGTATGCAGTTCGCATTCTGAATATCTAAATAAACTGTACAATATTATTATTCGTAACAGGTCAGTGAAATAAGCTGTAACGAAGCACTTAACAAAGATTTGTGCATTAAATTTGATTACATTACGAAAATGGCCTATTGTAATAAGTAGAGTTGAGATTGAGGGGGTAGTTTTAACACGTATTTGCGAACTGACTTGTTTGGTGAGGTTATTTGCTTAATTTCTTCTTGAGGGGAAGATGGAGTAAAAAGGAAGTGTACTGGTTTGGCTTTTCAACTCATTTTTGCTCTGTTTCTTTTATTCGTCATCATGGTCATAGGGCACAACGCCAACGTATAGTACAGATATACAGAGGACATAGTATTGTGCTGGTAATTATGAGTCGTGATGACAGTGCTTGGTTGTATTATATCAACAGAAAAGTCTTCTTCTTTTTAATTGATATGAGCGAGTTTGTCTATGAGTGAGGAGGAAACTATTCAAAGGAAAGCAACCTGTGAACCTCTGATGAGATAAACGTTTATATTTCGTCGCTGTTTTCACGAAGTGACGGTAGTGAAAAAAAATTGCATTCACTTTGCGTTACGATTTTCCTCACTACCGTCACTTCGTGAAAACAAGGACGATTTATGTGAACAGTTTTGGTGATATACGATATGGTCATTAGTCTGAATTGCAACAATACATGTCTGTCTGTAAAGGTATGTACACCAAAACATTCATGTATAGAAAGTGATTTCTTCGCATAGTAATTACTTGAAGCTGATCATTTTCAGGTTTCATTAGTTTAATTTCAATGTTGGTGACGTCGATAGAAATTGAAAAATATTCGTTAATAAAAAACAATTGTTGGTTGTGTTCAGGCTTGGCACAGAGGAAATTCACAAAGGTCATTCCATTATATCTAGTGTTTTCGAAGCTGACACCTCGGGCCCGTTTCACAAAGCTTTTTTCAATGACAAATGACAAAAATCAGTGACAAATCACAAAAATCAGTGACAAATCTGCTGATAACCAATCAGAAGCAAGGATTTTACAAGCTTATAACAAAAACTATCCTTGTTTTTTCACTGATGACTGGTGAAATGGGGCCCTGATTTTATTCTCATTTGAGATACTTGATATAATTGAGATGCAGCCAAACAATAGTAATCCATTGTTAATAAACCGATAAACGATGGTGTATAGACTTAAAATGAAAGCTTTTGTAATCGTTAGAGGAAGTGAGATTTACACAGGGTATAAATCGTTAGTCATTGCAAATAAAACCGCATTTGAGCTGCGAATCTATTGGTCTTTATAACGTGACAAGAGCTCTCGATAACTGCATGAATAGGGACTTTTAGATTTGGCAGTGCCTTAAAAGGACTTCACAGTGCCTTAAAATGACTTCACAGTGCCTTAAAAGGACTTCACAGTGCCTTAAAAGGACGTCACACGTAGCAGTCCACTTTTTCGGCGTGCAAATCTGAAAGTCCCTAATGCTAGACGCACTGGAGCGAAAGGGGATCGTTTGATATAAATGTATTCATTATTGATTTGGGTTGTTAGAACTCGAGGTTACTCCAGAGGTTTGGGTAAGTGAACTATTTCCTCATTCTTAAGCAGGGCTCCCACTTAGCCGAGTTGGAGCCTCGAGTTGTGGCGAGCTGGCGCGATCTTATGGCAAGCAGTTTTATCATTAAAACATAATTCTTGATATCAAGAATTCAATTCTTGATATCAAGAATTCAATTCTTGATATCACAAAATCGAATTCCTGATATCAAGAATTACCATTGCTTTACAACATAAAATTATTTCTTGATAACAAGAATTGATTTATTGATATCAATTAATAATAAAACGGCTTGCAATAAGATCGCACCAGCTCGCCACAACTCGAGGTTCCAACTCGGCTAAGTGGGAGCCCTGCTTAAGCCAGATAAATTCTTTCTCAATAGAATTCTCCGATTTTTCTTTGTGCTAGTGCTTCAAATTAAGAATTTCTTGTAATAACTGTATAATGTGCAAAGTGTATTTGAATAATTATCAAGATAAAAAATGAATATGTACATACATTTTTGTCATACTTTCTGTAATAATATCTGTAATATCTTTGTTTATCTTTCTGTTGGAAATGAAATAGATACGAATTGAATTGAATATTTTAGTAAACTGGTCTATTGCTCCGGGTTTATTTCGTCAAAAGCATAAGGTATAGGGTCAGGTGCGGAATCGGGTTAAGGGGTCATGTTTGGGGTAAAGTTAAACAGTTTGGAGTAAGGTATCGTGGAATTCGGTTAGCGAAAGACATTTCCGCCAAGTCAGTGTCAGAAAACGAAATGTCATGAATAATTTCAAAGCAAGAATTGTATTTAAAAAAAGAAAAAGGACGTTTCCGCACAGAATAAATGTTTCTTCTAGCCATTGATTCAAAGTTCGTTAGTATGTGTTCTACTGCTATAGGGTAATCGTATCGAATTTATATTTGTTTTTACCTAAATGTATTCTTCAGACTACTAATTGGTTTTTAAAAAAAAGGAATTAGATCATTCGTATATCGTATTATCTCTGAATGAATTTGTTGTTATCTCTGCATTTTCATTTTCCTAAATTTTATGTTTTCTCTCTCTCTCTCTCCCTATCTCTCCCTCTGTCCCTATCTCTCCCTCTCTCTCTCTCTCCCTCTCTCTCCCTATCTCTCTCTCTCTCTCTCTCTCTCTCCCTCTCTCTCCCTATCTCTCTCTCTTTCCATCTCCCACCTTTTATTTCATTAAATGCTAAATAGGAATTCTGTATCGCGACATACGTTTTACTCTTGTTGTGTTTTACATTGATCGCCTAAGACTCGAGTATATCGTTTGGTTCAAATCTGCTATAGGGATATGTGAGTTGGATCAGTGGTAACGTCCGTGGTACAGTCAGCTCTCTGTCTTTATGCCTACAAACTGATTCTGACTGGACCCGGGTTCGAAACTGCGTCGTGTCTTTTGAATAGTGACGTTAAAGTCGGTCCCAGACGTAAAATCGGGTTGGTAAACACTAGACAGAAATAATCGTCTGGTATGGGTCATTCTTTGATACAACTGACATTTGTCGACATTCCCAATACACATCTAGTGGAGCTAGATGTAATAGTCTCAGTGGAACAACCGACGATATAGAGATACAGAAGCTTTTGGTCTAGGTAAACACCTGTTTAAAAAAAAAAAAAAAAAAAAAAAAATCCCACACATTATCTACGTTTTAGCTTGAAAAGAGGTGCATACAAAGATATTGGAGCCACATACGTTCCGAATCTCATGAAGCCTTGGAAGAAGAAGAAAAAAAACGGGGAAATCTGTCACAGAGGTGTCATATCCTTGAATCGAGCAAAACACCGTAAACTGTCACACTAAGTGTATTTGCTGAAGAGTTTATCGAACTATGTCCTTCAATTTTTTCATAAAGGCTTTGCCAGTGTGTGATTTGCTCTCATTTTCTTGTTTTCTTTGTTTGCATAAAAATGAATTCCTCATAACATTCGTATAAGGGCCTTATTTACATTTGTCTCTGTTTACAAGATCGGCATTATCAGGTTTGTCGTTGAATCTTTTTGGTCCTTATTTAGGATTTCCCGCAGACCGAAGCGGGGGAATTTTGTAACTTCCACCGATTTTATTGAAAAAATGAGAATACAAATAATGATAATACAATGCATTACGCTGAACGATACAATCAAACAGTTTTCGGTATTATATTTAATGACGGAATTAAACACCAAATGAATGTTCATGTTTCCATTTCATTTTTACAGATTTTTCGGGAAGTCAAGTGCTGGTCATTTAGAACGAAAACTAGATCATCGTGAACGCGAAAAGATTGAAAACCTATTCCGCGTCGACTGGAGCTCCTGCAAAAGGCAACCATGTCTGTTTTCACCTTCTGCCATATCTATGCTCTTCTTGTCGTCTTGGTAGTGCTCAGAGGCACCACCTCTCTGGATGATCTCAAGATATGCTCGACACCTGACTGTCCAAACGAACACATCGAAGTTGCCGATGAGATCGCTGGCACGATTCACCGCTACTCCCAAAATGCTGCAAACTTTCAAGAAGCCAAAGCCTCACGGTCGCCTGCCAAAGACGTGGAACCCAGAGGCCACGTCAACGGCCAGAGTCCTGAGGCAATTGTTACAGCCCAAAGGCAACATCCGGTCAATGCAGTGGAGGAGAACATATTCTGGTCGGCGACCGTTGAGGGCGCCATCCCACCAGGTAACTACCTAGTAATGCTCTCATAATTGTTGAAACCGAGTTAGTTTATATATCTCAAAGAGAAGGTTGAGTTCTGGGAAGAGGTGAAAAATAATTTGTGAGCGTTATCATTGTTATGGAAGAACATCATATTAAAAAAAAAACATCTCTGACAAGCATGGCTCTTCAAATGCCTTAGTATTCTAAATATGGCATGTAATATCATATAAATCGGAACGGATTTGTACGCCACATGTTCGTGTAGTCCCATATACATATTTCTGTGAACAATGCTTGTAACTTTACCAAGACTGGGCCAAATTTCTTTTCATTTTGATGATTCCAGAACCTTGCAGTGCACACCAATACTTTATATGCTAGATGATCAACCTTTTCTGATCGATTTCTCTCCGTTTCTTTCACAATGCAATCGCATGACCAGAACTCAGTTTCATCTTTGAATGGTGGTCAAAATATAATCTGAAAGTGATTTCAAATTGAGGTTGTGCTTGGAGATTTTGGGGGAGAAGAATAGATGTCATTGATCTAAGATTCACCCTAGTTCTGTTTGTATCTTGAACTTTTGTAACCACATACCTCGTATTCTGCTCATAAGTAACTGCTTACATGGTTTTGTAGATATACAGTAGATTTGCGGTTGCACCATGTGAGAGAGGGGGAGGATTGGGGAGTCCTGAAAAGGACTCTCGTTAATCTTAGTTTTTTCTTTCTTCAAGACTCTACACACTCAAGAAAGAAAGATTACAGAGAGTCCTCTTCAAGACTCCCCAATCCTCCCCTCTCTCACATGGTGCAACCGCAAACCTACTGTATACCTTGTATTGTTTCTACTGTTCAATATTTGTTGTCTGTTGTCTTTGGATTCATGTAATATGTTTATGTATCTTTTGGGACAACTTATTTCAAAGGCGAATAAAATCATGTTATGCTTTTCGAATGTACATGTATATAATAACGTAAATTTGGAATAAACTTCAGAATCGAAAGTCCTCAAAGGTTCTATCGATGAGGCGCCCCTTCACAGTCATGTCAATTGTACGATTGAATTGAGCAGGTTTGAGCTACTCGGTAACGGAAGGATGGAAGAAGAGAATTCGACAGCTCCGAGTGGTGAAAGTAGAAAATGCTTCAATAGATAAGTGCGGTAGCAACATGAATCGGCACGTGGTGTTCGACGATGGAACTACGGCATGTGCACGATACAGACACCCGATGGTGCAGTTTGTGTTGGGTAAGGGCGATTAGTTAGATCGTTCAGCCAGCAAAGTAGGGGGTAGTGCATGAGGGCGTGTTTCAGGAAGGGGGGTACAAAGAACAGTGTTTTATTTTATTAAAGATAAAGGGTTGGGGTTTGGGCTGATAGTAGGTCGGGGGGTGTTTCACAAAGATCTTAAGTTGAACTTAACTCTAAGTTGGACTTAAACATTATGGAGAGCCATTTGTAGCCTTAAAATAAAATACATTCAAAAGTGAAAATTCAAGTATTTTAGACTTTTCATAATTTCCACATCAAGAATATAAAATCTCCCATGATAATAGAAAATATGAATGATTTGAATCAACATTTTATGCCTTTTAAAATAACTTTTACAAAATATTTTCAAATATGCTAAGAGCTTTCCATAATTGTTAAGTCCAACTTAGAGATAAGTTCAACTTAAGATCTTTGTGAAACAACCCCCCTGGTGTTGGGTTTAGTTTTGAAGTTGGGAATACGGTTAGTGTAGGAAATTGACCGAAACTGTCGTTAGAGCATGTCTCGTAGAAACTGTTTTTAATAAAGGTGATCTTGAACTAATTTCCGTGCTAACTAAGATTTTGTTATGTATCTTCTTATAACCGGCCTCTTATAATGGTTCGGATATTGGGCATTAATTTCTGGTGAAATATGAACTAATTCTGTTTTTTTAATTTTTTGAAGCAGTTACCATTCCACTCATATTCAAATCCTCAATACTCTCATTTTGAGTTACAAGCCTAAGTTTATCCCCATATTTTGATATTTTTTCTATGGTGGGTACAACATGCAGGTGATCTGTACTGCTACTATCTAGGCCGAATGATAGGTCTGCAGAACGTTCCAACGGTCGTCCTGTCTCACGTGTCCAACGACAGTTCCTCGCAGTGGTCTTCGGTTACTGCGGACATTCGCAACGCCGGTTGGAAGAACGACACGGTGGCGAGCTTCAGCTTGTGGATCGATAATATTGGAAAGTGAGCAATCGTTAATGCATCCGACACGATTTTATGTAAAAATATGATAGTACAGTCAAACCTGCTTTAATGACCACCTGTCTACAAAGACCACCTGTCTACAACAAGCACATTTCTTGTTTCCCTTGAAAATGGTTTCTCATGGAAACATGAATAAAGGAACTTGTCTACAAAGACCACCTCTTTACAAAGACCACTTTTTGTGTTTCCCTTGGGCGGTCACTGTAGACAGGTTTGACTGTACATGCACCATGGTCCCATCTTATAAAAAGTTTGTATCTATCTGAATCAGTAGCAACTCCACCTCTATCTCCAACTTCTCCAATCAATTGCAAACTCAAAATCTATCTCCTGTGGAGCAGTTGTGATTAAATCAATTGTGAGGTATATTGCCATTGATTCAAATCCAAGAAGAAATTCTATAGAACATGATTCAGGGCTAGGAGTGAACATTAGTTAATAATAACACATATTTTGTGTTCCAGATTATAATTTCGTTTTGTTGGTTTTGTTCTCGTACGAAGCTGACCCAAGGTGTTCAGTAATCATTCCTGTGTCCTTACATTTATGCCAATCGCATCTCGTTATATGATCGGCCCATGATAACTTAGTGAGGGGGTAATATAAATGTTGTTGATCATACGATAAGATAAGTTTTTGACTTTCTATGCTAACAGATGGCAGTTTTGTTCAGCTCCTATAACTATAGCTCATGAAACGGGTATACAGAATCATTCTCCTGGCAATCTATTTCCGCTTCTCAATCGCAACTCTTTCTATAAGATACATGTGCATGTGGGCCTATTTCGTCATATAATTCTCTATAATCCTTTTTTTTATGGACCTATAATTAAATGTAACTTGATAATTTTTAAATTTTGGTTATTCTTTTGTATATGGAGCAATTTCCAATTTATTTGTATAGTTAACTCTATTTTAATAAACATAGCTGTTTATGCGATTGTAATCATCTCTTAAAGCCCCACTGTCCTACTTGTAGCTACTTGCTCCCTCTATATAGAAAACTTCCCCAATCGGTGCCTGCTGGTCCCCCATGATCCTCTTTTTCCTATGTTAGTTGAGAGCTGAGTTTATGAGATAGCCACCTGTCAGTGACCTCGCTGTGTGGTCGAATCCCTTCTGGCCCAGTAGTATTGACGGTCTTTAAAATTCTTCCCTACTATGTAAAGCGCATGGAGACCTTTTGATTATAATGTGCCATATAAGAATCTACTTATTATTCATTTGTACCGCCATTTTTACATCTCCTTTAGATCGCATCTGCCGGAAATCATGTTTAATAACCAGCGTGGGACCATATACCCTTCCACTCCTGGATTCGCTGATCTCAACATCACCACGCTCGTGGAACTGGCCCAGTTCAGTGACCTTGTGATATTTGATTACATCACAGCTCATCTAGACAGGTAAATATCGAGGGGTCAGTGAAACAAAGACGTAACTCCATATTTTTGCCAAAAATGAGTATTTAATATCAAAATGTTCAGGAAAAATATGTGGGCTTTCCCAGACACACAAGGACTTAACTCCACCCAACAACCCCATTGAAGTCAATGGCTAGTGAAACATAGACTTAACTCCTTAAGGCCCAAGTGCTCAGTGACACATAAACCACTTTTTCTCAAAATGGAGTTACGTCTTTGTGACCCCTTGATATCTTCTTCTACTTGTAATCTTCAAAAGACTATGCTGCATATCCTAAAGATCTCTATGTACATGTTGATTATCTGGGGGCGGGGGTCGTGACAAATGACACTTTTTGTAATAAGCTACTGAAATCCTTGCTTCTGATTGGTTATCATCAGATTTGTAACTGATTTTTGTCATTTTCATTGAAAAAGGCTTTTTGAAACGGGTCCCTGGTGTGTATGAAGGCACACTGAGGCACAATGTGACGACTCTCCTATACACAGGGAACCTCCGGTTAACATGCTACCCACCTTTTCCTTCTGTAATCTCCCCAATATTCTATTTTACAGGATGACGATAAGGAAAAATGCAGTCGAGTATTACCAGCAGGACTGGCTCTATAAAGGCGAGGTACACAATCTAGCCCAGCATAAAAGCAATGGAGGTCTCTGGTTCATCGATAATGAGAACGGATTATTCAACTCCTACCCCGTCGCATATTCAAAGGCTAACAAGGAACAGATGCAGGGTGAGACAATATGACTTGTGTTTTTACGAACAGAATATAATAATAATAATACAAGATGCAGCATGAAACAACGACATTGCCAGAGTAGGGGAGGTGACAACCATTATATTGAATATTTGAGACATTGAATGTTCAACGATTCTTCATAAAGCATGAATTTTTTTTTTCTTTAATCGCTTAAAGATAAACTTGAGTTCTGGTAATGTGATTGCATTGTGAAAGAAAAGGTGTGGAATCGATCAGAAAAGTTGATCATATAGCATGTAAGTAATGGTGTGTAATGCAAGGTTCTGGAGTCATTAAAATCATCATGAATTTGGCAGAGTCTTGGTAAAATTACAATCACTTACACAGAAAGATGTATATGGGACAACACACATGGTGTCGGGGCTAGTACTACCCTGATTTCCTTATCTTTCTATGCTCATTACTCAGCCAGTATACATTTTCTTCCAAAATTGTTTGGCACATGACATTTATTTGTAATCTTGAACATTCAGTGTAAGTTTCGTTAGATTCTGTGAGAATTTATTTTCTTTTTTTACCAGAACTCAAGTTTATCTTTAAGCATTGCATGCTTTGTTGAGATTCTATGAATGGTAAAAGCATCCTTTTAAAAATCTAATCTCATTTTGTATTCTTCCCCTTCAGGTTACCACGAGGAGCTCCTGCGCTCGTTCTGCATCTTCAGGCGGTCAACATTCAAAAATGTGCACGGGCTGGCCCGAATGGAAGACCCTTTCAACGCCCTGGACATGGCAGTCCACCATAATGAGCCCGTTACTAAGATGATGGAGGAAGTCAAGAAATCGTTTATGGTGGGTTTGAAAGAACGGTTCAAACAACGTCTGCTTAATGTGGTTCATTGGATGGATGAATGTCAGTCACGTTCTAGTGGTTGATTAAACTCCTCCCCCCTAACTTCCAGCATTTAAAGGCCCACTGCACTACTTGTAGCTACTTGCGCCCTCTCTATATTAAACAATGCCTAATCGGCGACCATTGGTCCCCCATGATCCTCTTTTTCTTATGTTAACTGAGAGCTGAGTTGATGAGATAGCCACCTGTCCAGTGACCTTGCAGGGCAGTCTAATCCCTCCTATAAACTAGTACTGATAAGCTTTAAGTTTGAAAAGCTATAATGAAAAGAACATGAAATAGATTCGTGAACAGCAAGGTAAACTTTAGAAAAACATCCACCAAGTGTATGATAATAAGGATGATATTAATTAGAATACTGAAATGTCATTCGAAGTCATGATGATGATAAGACATGTTATATGATAAGCATCTTTAATGATTTGATAACATTGTTTTTCATCCACGCAATTAAATAATCACATCCACAAAATTAAAAAAATTCTGAAAGAAATTCCACTAATGATGACATGCATAGTTAATGAAAGAGTTGAAAATAACTAGGTGCCAGCACCTGGGTCGATCGGGGGTCAATTTAAAAAAAAGGAACCTTTTTTTTTTTACCATCTTTGGGCTGATATTTTTCAGTTTTACCGTAAATGCTTATTTAAATATTTATTTTATTCATTAAACATTTTTTTTTTTAAGCCTACCGTAGAATTTCAAGATTTTGGGGTCGGTCGCAAAGGGCAATACAACAACTTTGTTGTGTAAGCCTAAGTTAACTGGAGTAAACGTCTGATCATCTACAATGTACATCTTACATGCCAGAAAATAATAGTTCTGAATTTGCCAACTTTTTTAAACGGTGATGGGTTATATTAATCCTAATATTTTAAAGTTCTAATCTTTTAGAGACAGAGCATTCTATGTATTTTGTAGTATTTAATTTAATTGCTGATTACCTATAAGCAATATATTGTGTATTTGTCTAATGATTGTGTGTACATGTATGTGTAGTTATCTGTATATTATTCAGCTGCATAGCTTATTCTTACCCAGGTTAAAAATCGTGTGTGATTTTGTAATCGCTGTATACTGTCAAAGATTGACAATCCAAAGTCAAAGACATGCAAAGATATCTATGTACATGATAGAATGTTTTAATAACTTTTCGTGTTTTGTAGTCAAATCTCAGTTCTCTGCATTAAGAACCATCTACGGTATATGTGCATGAAGACCATATGATATGATATGGTAAGACTCAGGATTTTCTGCATCTCAATGGTCTTTGCAATATCAAGACGTTTTCGGCATATTGTCGAACAATTTATTTTCAAGCAATCTTGGTATTCGTGTTTACTCCCCTCTGATAATCTTGTACGTAAAAAAGATTTCCTCTTTTTTTTCTCTCTCTACTTTCCCTAGAAAAACAGTTTTGAATAATGATTAGTTTTCACTCAGACCAGTGTTCTTAAAAAGCATATCATGATGAACTAGTTTAATTCAGGGAGGCAATAGAGCTCAGTCCGTAAATTGTCCACTAGTCGAACCAAAGATTCTGGGTTTGAATCCATCCAACCCAGGCGGATGACTGAGGCTGCATTGTGTGTTAACGTGCCCCTTCCGTTTCACAGACGCAGGCTGTGTTACAGTGCAAAATACTCCGTCCTCGGATAGGATGTTAAATAGAGGCCCCATGTAGAGGACATCACCACCTTTGCACATTAAGAACCCACTGCACTATTTGTATGTAAGAGTATAGGGGGAACCCAAGTATAGTGGTCCACCAGAGGGGAGACCCAAAGTCAGGTTCCTTTTCTCATCTCAGAAACAGATGACACCAAATGCTTAATAATAATTATATTTATTAAAATTAATCACCATTACAGTAATGTTTACAGGATAAAGATCTCGACCATTTGTGGTCTATAAACCAATGGCTTATGTTAAGCCTGGTACAATTGTCCATGCACGCCTTCAAGAAGACCAGTCAGTGTGTGAGAAATAATCATATTCTTTATCGCAAGTGATCTTTTGGTTAACAAATTTTTGTAGCTAGCGTCTAACAAAAGTAGAATGTTGAGGGTAGAGTTGAATAAATATCTACAAAACTCCCCAAAAAATTGTTCTCTGTATTTTTTTCTTTGTATTTATTGCATATGTTTTTAAATAACATGTAAAACCATGCATTTAAACATTGCATACGAAAATTCATCAATACATTTGAAATCCATTAACCAGAGCCCTATATCATAATTGAATTGAATTGATAATGGTTTTATTGAGAATAAAAGAACAACAATGCATCGCGGCTTACAAGGCCGAATTGGGCAATGTTTTACAAATGTAAAATACAGTATATAAAAACGTTCATATTAAATGACATCAAATTAATGAACTGAACTTGAATGAGTATAATTGTTAAAATAATATTTAACTTTAAAATTCTTATTTCTTATTATCATTTGATCTCCCTAACTCATTTTTATTTAAAAAGGAGGTAAAGAAAAGTGAAGAAGAAAATGATGGTGGTGTACAGTAAAGAAAGCATAGAAAAGAGGATGGTAAGATTAAGAAAAGAATGAAGAGGGAGAAGAAGAGAAAAAGTAGAAGTGAAGGAGGAAGAAGAAGAAGAAGAAGATTCAAGTGGGGATAGTAAGATGATAGACAGAGGGTAGTGCGAATAGTAACACTATCATAATGTATCGATATCAAAATTCAAGCATTACACATTATCAAACTAATGATAGAGGCAAAGTTATGTAGAAAATAAATACTTATATGAAAAATTGTACGAATTCAAAAATTTACTCTAGGTAATAGCTACTCTAAGGAAAGGGTTATAATGTTTAATCCAGACTATAAAAAAGGAGAGCAATTAGAAAAAGCAAAAGCAGAAGGAGAAAGAGGGAAAAGAGGATTGAGAAGGAAGGATAAGGGTGAGATGAAGAGAGGAGATGGGAAAGTAGAAGTGGTAGAGGAAGAGGAGACAACTGTGACATTGGCCATGGAAGATAATTTCAGTCATTTAAACAATTAAAAATAAATGGTTAACACAAAATTTAAATTCGGTACAGCAAATGTAATGATTCTATTATACAGATCCAAAGATTAGACCCCAGTATAAATATAAAATTGGTATATGTGTATAAATATTTTAAAATATCTGAAATTTTTGTTTTACCAAAGCAACTGCCAAACTACCTACTCATAGCCAAAAATGTAAAATCATGAAACATAAGGATTGTTATTATCTATAACATTATTAATGTACCCAAATAGCTATTGATAACACGTTTTATGAACCAGGACCCTAACCTTACTCAATGGTCTTCTTCTTTTTATGAATCTATCATCCAGCCACAAATAGATGTTAAGGCCAGTATCTCCGTCGATATAGTACTCATGCTAGTACATATACCACTGGCAGTGAATTCAGTCACATTTACATGTAAGAGTTCGTATCCGGACACCTACCTCCTGGACATCCACCCCCCCCCCGATACCATCCCCAATCAACTACCCCCTAGGAAAACTACCCCCTTAGGCAACCACCCCCCGGGACGACTACCCCACAGTCAACTACCCCCTAGGACAACTACCCCCTAGGGCAACCACACCCGGGACGACTACCCCCAGTCAACTACCCCCTAGGACAACTACCCCCAGACAACTAACCCCAGACAACTACCCCCTAGGACGACTACCCCCAGACAACTAACCCCGGACAACTACCCCCTAGGACGACTAGCCCCAGAAACTTACCCCCGGACAACTACCCCCTAGGACCACTACCCCCAGACAACTTACCCCGGACAACTACCCCCTAGGACGACTACCCCCAGACAACTAACCCCTAGGATAGTTGTCCAAGGGGCTAGAGGGTGGTTGTCATAGGGGGTAGTTGTCTTAGGGGATAGTTGACCTGAGGATGGTATATCCGGGGGTGGGGGTCCAGGGGGTAGGTGTCCTAGCTAGAATCGTCAGAGTTACATGCATCCATACAACATCACCAGTCGCACCTGTCTCTCTACTAAAGGGAAACTCCACTTTGGCGTTGTGACCATAGTTTAAGCCACTGTACGAGACTAGCTTGTAAGCGCAGACTCTAACTTCACACTTTACCACAACTCCAAAATCCTTGAGCAGATCCTGGATATCATGTCAGTCTCTGGTTGTGTTGTCAGGAGTGGTTAAAATTGATACACTAAGCAAATAAATGTCCCTTAATTTGTTACCTACGGCAAGTATATGTTATTTTTAAGTTTTTCAATTACTTAGTATATCACAAAAAAATTCTGTCTACTCGAAATCTTCAATTGAAATGTCGAAAATATCCGCCTCTCTTTGCATAGAAAATCAGTCACGGCGCTGGTCTACTATTTATGACCTCACGTCCGGGAAAGAGTATATAGACCAGTTCACGGTTAGCACATTTACTGCAATGACCCCGAATATCCACAGATCTTCAAAACATGAAGAGGTCCCACTTTGTACATTGTGAAATAATCATTCCTACAGCGATGAAGGTGCTATATAACATAGCCTTTGTTTTCCCCTTTGAAAGAATACTTCCACCTGTGTATCATGAATTGCACTGAATGTGCAAGAATGAATAACGATTAAATAACTTTCATGAGCACGTATCCAGTATTTCGTCTCCGTGTATTTCACAATTTGTTCTGCAATGACCTTGATCTGCTCATGCTCAGACTGCAACCGTGAACTCGCTTATTCACGTACCCGGATGTTCCATAGCAAACATGTGCAGAGTGATACGATTTTCTGCATATTGTTGTTTCAAAGGCTGAAAAGTCGAATAAATCATAATTCTATGTACAATTCTTTACCTTCCCCTAGTACTTCATAGTATTAATATCAATTCCCCTTTTAAAAATTATGACATATACATGCCAACGATGTGCTAGTAGTCGATATTTTCACCATGTAATTTTTGTTTTGGTGTTGAAATCGGCCCAGGCACGGAGTGAACAGTAGCTGTCTACCCATGCACAGTTCATTACCATACACTACAGCGATCTCCCGATGGTTTCTTCTTCCTTTTTCCCAAGTTTTTCGCCTTCCTTGGCCCTGAAGATCCTTCATCTACCAATTCTGACACCGGTAGTCAGGAGCAAGTCTTTGTTAGTTGTTTTTCTTAGCTGGCAACGTCGCTTTCATTCTCTTGCAATTGCCGATAAACATATAACTAGCGCACGTACGTTCCATCACAAGCAAGCAGCGCCTAGAGCAGCGGCTTGGTCTTACCTCCCGATTCTGCTCGCTTCACGAACGTTCATGCAAGAGCCGCATCACTCGCCAAAATATTATAGAGGATGCGCGCTTGCATGATCTCGTTCAAGTTTGATATTTTACAACATAAAATGTTTAACTGGTACTGTATCCTTTTTTGAGGCAGTCACACACATCTATTAAGTACTATCATAGTTCTAGACCTATTCGTTTTACAAAACTGCTCCTGTACCTTATCTGATGACAATATATAATGCATCCGCCTATATTCATACATGCACGATTTAACTTTAATTCCTAAGCAGTAAACTAGTCTTAAATCTCTACCAAATAGGTGAATATGAGGATATAAAAAGAAATCAGCGACTGGAAAATGTTGCTTCGTTATTCTTCATTCAAATGAAAACAGAAAATCCATCAAATATACTCTTGAACAACAACAAATCTAAGCTCTGACAGGACAGCATTTACGTAGGGATATCACTGCCATTCACTCTCACTGAGCCCATGAGTCCCGTTCGTGACGTCACGGATAGAGGCCCGACTCTACGTGCACTTCCGGGTTTCACACTTAGATATTTTGGTAGAGTTTACTCGAATAAATTCATTATTCTAAACTTGTTTTGTCGGGTGGACACCATTTGGTGTTATTATGGGGGTTAAAAGCTTTCTATTTATGTAATTATCTCAGTATTTGGGATTGTCTTAGAGTATCAACTTTAAAGTACAGAGCCTGTAATTGGTCTCATAGTGCAGAAAATGTACCACACAACCTATTCTTCATTGACGAAATACGCCGTCTGTGTATTATTAGGGTGATCATACTGCCTGTGCACACAGTCTGCCCCACGAACACACACACACAACAGCAGTCAGTTGGTAGAAATAGCAATTTTGTAAATTTATTTTAAAAAAACTAAACAATATTTTTAAAATTTTATTTCCCATATATTTCAAGCATACCTTTCACTACAATTCTGTGAGGTTTCATTGTTATAGGCATGTGGGAAATATGTTAAATGATTTAATTAGAATATTGTCTTTTCAGCCATGTGTGACATGGCCCGCTGATCGCCCATTGACTCGCGCTGCTATTCTGCGTGGTGAAAATCACCTCAATGTATAAAACTCCCCTACAAACATGCAATATCCTTATGTGTTTCACCCATTGAATCAATTTGTTATTTGCACTCAAGGTAGCCACAACTGTACTGGGGTCACCAAATTTGTTGGTACTCTAAAATTTAGTCCATGTGGAATGTTATGGCCTGTTGAATGGTTTCTCGGAAAATCGTCATAAATCCTTAAATCTGACATCTTTTAAATAGAAAAAAATACTGTGATGTAGCTAAAAGTCTACAAATTTTTATCATATGATAGTTTTTACTGAATAATTTGTGAAACACATGAGGAAATAGCTGTGACGGTAATCCAATTAATTTCCATCGCCATATTTTATTGGCATTGCGAAAATATTTGGAATTTAAGGTTAATATTTGGTGTAAATATGATCTATGAATATATGATTTAAAAAATGCCCCAAAAATGAACAGTTTGACTTTCCTAATTTGCATGATGAGTGCGCGAATATATAATCAGCTGAAATGACCTAATTTGCATATTTGACGAATATTCATGATTTTTTTTTTTTTAATTTCAAATGAAATATATTTCCATACCTGTCTGATATACATAGGTTTCACTGATCTATCATGTTCGGTTTTGATTTGATTACATATGCGCGTAATTAGGCGGACTTAGTTATTTTCACAACTTGTTCATATCCGCAGATTCGCAAAAATGGCAAAAATGACTTATTTTGTTGGCTTCTGTTTCATCAAAACGGTAATAGATATATGAATGTTCTTTT